CTGTTTCTATCTCGAATACCAAGTCTATAACTTTCCATGCCCTAGTCTCTTGTGTGTCAACCCACAAATAAGCACGGTAGAAATTGTAACAATGAAGGTGTGATAGGAGGATATAGGAAATGTGAATAGCCTGGGGTAGAAGGGGAGATACCACAACTGTTTAGCATACGTTTGGTAAAAGGATCGGCTTCACTTGTCTCTTTGACGAGTTGTTGAACGGTGCTAAGAAGGGCGAGACTCACTGATGATGCCGACTACGATGCCGGCGAAACGTTTGGGAATGTACCATATCCACGGTTCTACTTTGGAAATGATGATGCATACAATGCACTCCGGACTAGGTTCGTTCCTCTAAGTCTTCCTACCAATGTGAATATGTTACAGAAACAAGGTCAAACAACCTCTATACAACGAAAGGAGACAGCGACCACACAAAAGACCACACCATCTTGGTCTTCATACCTTCGATTATAAAGAATGAGGTTGTTGCTAATTTAGCTGTCCTTTGTAGAAACGTAAGTGCAATATTTGGGCGTATCATGAAAGAAATAAAATGGGCAAATAGATGTTTCTTCGTGTAGAGGTGATGAAGCGCTAACCTGGACAAGCAATTCCTCTAGCTCCTGCTCTTTGAATAATATGACGTTGGAATAGCTGTAAACCCTGACCGCACGAAGCGTTGCAGATGCCAACTGGCTCCCAGCTCGAAAGGACGCAGTCCTGTTGGCAAACGTGTTCTGTACACGTCCATGCTCCATCGGCACAGGTACTGTTGTTTAACATAAATTGGAAGAAATAAGAATCAGTGGCGGCTAGACATTTGTTATATTTTTTTAAGTAGGTTTTCGAAACTACTAGTAAATCACATATGTCTGATTTAGTGGAATTCTCGAAAGCACACTCAAAAGAGGAAAAAAAGTAATGTCTTAAAGGCTTTAATAAATATAGGTTAACTTCGTTGTCGCAACTTGGTCTTGTTGTCAGGGCGACTTAGTAGAACGCACGTAGTCCGAAGTCGTCTGCCATATTAGTTGTCATGATTTCCAGCATCTGACAGTGGACTTGGTACATTCTCAAACGTTTGCCGGCATCATCAATCAGTTTTGCAATTCTCCGCACAAAGCTAAAAACTCGTCAAAGAGACAAGTGAAGTCAATGCCTTGACAACCTTTCTACCGAAAACGGTTACACTATCAATTTTCTTTCTGTCATCGTTTATCTATCTACTCTTTACCCTCAAAAAGGCCACAAAAGGGCACACATTTTGACGAGTGGAATGTAAACAAGTGAGAAGTTGTGATAAAGCGGCAGTGGGATTAGAGGGTAAAGAGTAGATAGATAGGCCAGGACAGAAAGAGGAGTGATAGTGGAACCGTTTTTTGGCTTCGCTTGTCTCTTTGACGAGTTCGTAGCCTGGTGCGGCGAATGGCAAAGCTCACGGATGATGGCGACTGCGATGCCGGCGAAACGTTTGAGAATGTACCAAGTCCACTGTCTGATGCTGGGAATCATGACAAC